AACATTTCTTATATGGCTGGTTTAGTGCTGATAAGCTTCTTTACCTTTTATTTGTCTGGGAAAATGTTATCTTCTTCTTTTTATCTCTTCTAAATGATAACCTTGCTGGATAGAATATTCTTGGTTGCAGGTTTTTTCCATTCAGCACTTTGAATATATCATGCCTGCAAAGTTTCTGCTGAAAAATCAGCTGATAGCCTTATAGGGTTTCTCTTGTATGTAGCTGTTTTCTCTTGTTGCTTTTAAAATTCTCTAATACCATTTTTTTGCCTTTTTAATTATGCTGTGTCTTGGTGTGGATCTCTTTGGGTTGATTTTGTTGGGGACTTTCTGAACCTTCTAGATCTGTTTCCTTCCCCAGATTAGGAAAGTTTTCAACTATTATTTCTTCAAGTAAATTTTCAGCCCCCTTTTCTCTCTCTTTTCCTTCTGGGAATCCTGTAATGCAAATGTTATTATGCTTGATGGTGTTGCTGAGTTCCCTTAATCTGTTCTCATTTTTATTATTAATTTTTCTTTTGCTTTTCTGCGTGGTTGCCTCCATTACTGTCTTCTAGCTCACTGATAACGTTCTTCTGCTTCCTCTAGTCTGCTATTTATTCCATCTAGTGTGTTTCTAATTTCAGTTAATTTAGTTCTTCATGTCTGATTGGTTCATTTTTCTATTTTCTATTTCTTTTTTGAGGGTCTCACTGAGCCTTCCACTCCTTCTCAAGTCTAGTGAACATCTTTATGATCATTACTTTGAATTCTGTTGCAGGCATATTGCTTATCTCCATTGAGCTCTTTTGCTCTGAATTTATCCTTTTTTTTTTCCCCCATTTGGGACATACTCCTCTGTCTCATTTGTCTCAGTCTCTGTCTGTTTTCATTTGTTAGGAAAGTCAGGTATGTCTCCTCATCTTGACAGTAGTGGCCTTATGAAGAGGCCCCGTGCTGCCCTCGAGGTGTTGGGTGGTGTCCCCCGGTCACCAGAACCTGGCACTTCAGGTGTCTCCTGTGTGTGTTAGTGCATCCTGCTGTTGTGCTGGAGCCACGTTTGCCTTCCAGTCATCTGCAGTGACCCTCTTTGCCTACCATGAGCAGAGTTTGGTCCCTCTGCTGTGAGGGGCCAGTCTTGGCTGCCTTGGGTCAGACCAGATGCCTCCTCTTAGCCTGTTTGCTGGGCTGCAGTCACACCGTACTGCACGGTGCTCTCCTTGCACTGGCCCCTAAGGGGCTTTCACTGGAGGTGGGCCTGCAATTGGGCCAGATCTCTGCCCCCACTTTGACTGTTGAGGTTGCAGTAACCAAACTCCAGGGCTCTCTCTTGCTGCCCCCATGAGGTTTTTGTTGGTGGGTGGGGCTGGTAGACCAGATGTGTGCCCGCAGCCCACTGCTTGGGCTGCAGTTGAACCGGTTTGTGTGGTTATCTTCCCCTCTCTCCATGGCAGGCGTCCCTTTGGTGTGGTGCTGGTCCCTTCAGGGTTGCTTGCAGAATGAGATGAGGAAGGTACTGCTCTGGATGGACTCCTGCCCAGTGAGCAAGTTGGATGGGGCGGATCCACAGGATAATGCGGTGGTGGGGCCTTGGGTGTTAGACCCAGATGGGAACTGCAGCCACTTCAGAGGGAGGCCTACAGAGTGAGGCAGGTTGGGTGGAACGACTCTGAAGGAGAATGTGGGCTAGGGTGTGGTGTACTGTCAGCAAAGCTAGGTGGACAGTTTAGCTGCTGGTATCTAGACGGTGGGCAAGGAGAGAAATGGTGCCTGCCAGTTCTTGTGTTCTTGGAGAAGTCTCATAAAGGTCTCTGCCCCTCCTGGGCATCATCTGTGATTAGTAAATATACCCTTCCTGCGAACCTCAGGAGTTTTTCATACTGCTATTTCTATGTTGTATCTCAGTGGGTTGTTTGTTCTGCTGGCCCTTCAAGGGCAGGGACTGTTTCATATTGCCCTCAGGCTCTCCCAGACATAAACCTGCTGGTCATTAAAGTGCCCTGAGTTAAGCCCCACTGATTGTAAAAACTCACAAAGCCCAGCCCCACTGGTTTTCAAAGCCCAGTGTTATGAGGCCTCATCTTCCCAGTGCAGGGTCCCCCATGTCAGGGGTGGCTGGTGTGGGGTTTGTTTCTCTCCAGTCTCCACACTCATCATCTCCCTCCTGTTTGTGGCTAGTTTGGTTCTGGAGTGGGTCTCTGCCCCTCTTCCTGCTCCAGGGTGGCCTACTCTCTACCATCAACTGTGGAGAGCCTGTCCTGCTGGTCTTAGGTTTTTTTTCTGGTTTAGTAGTTACACTGATGTGGCTGTCATCTAGGTTTATTCATGGGACAAGATGAGGTTGGAACTCTTCTACTCCGCCATCTTCAGTGGAAGTCTGAGAAATCCCAATTCTCGGTATTTATTTGAAAGAATTGAAAGCAGGAACTCAAACAGCTATTTATACATAAGTGCTTATGATAGCATATTCACAATAGCCGGGAGGTAGACCCAACTTAAATATTTATTGATGGTTGAATCAATAAAGAAAATATGTTATATCCATACAGTAGGACATTATTCAACCTTAACGAAATTCTGCCACATGCCACAACATAGATGGACCTTGAGTACATTATGCTAAAAACTCTAATGCTTCCAGAAGAAAGTAGAGTATCTTTTGGACCTTGAGGTAGGCAAAGATTTCATAGACAGCAGTCAAAAAGCACTGGATAGGAAAAAAAAAATAAAGCAAATCTCATGAAAATTAAAAATTTCTCATGTGGTACACTGGTAGGGGTATGAAGGTGAGCCACAGATTCAGGGTAAATATTTTCAAAACATACACCTAAAAGCAACTTGTACCTATAGTATGTGAAGAACTACTATAAATCGGCAATGAAAAGGCAGCTCAAAGGATGGACAAAAACTTGAACAGGTACTTTACAACAGATGGGTGTACTCAAGTCCAGTAAGCCCAAGGGCAGTGCTCAGCTTAAACCGTCAGGTGAATGCAAACCTAAATCCCCAATGAGATTCCCTTTCCCAACCACAATGGTGTCTGCTGTGGAAAAGATTGAGTGTACCAAGTGTTGGTAAGGGTGTGTCAGGACTGGAGTCTCATACACGGCTGACAGAGATGTGAACTACCATAACCACTTGTGAATGGTTTGGCGATTTCTTTAAAATTGAAACCTGCACTTACTGTATGGCCCAGCAATTACATATTTAGACATTTAGAGAAGAGGAATGAAAATGCCCACATAAACATATGTATGTGAATCTTTGCTGCAGGTGTTTTGTAATAGCCCAGAACTAGATATAATGCAAATATCCATCAGCTGGAGAAGTATGAATGAATTACAGTATATTCCTATGTTGTATTATGTCTCATCGGTAAAACCCTGTGAAGTACTGAAACATGCAGCCACATGAAGGAATATATCAAGCAGGTAGCGCTATAGCATAGAATCCATATGGTCATATAAAGTCTGTGCGATTCTATTTGTATGAAGGTCAAGAGCCAAGGCAAGCTTGTCAAAATATTGAACAGTAGCTGTTTATTCAGGGTGGGGGTTGATTGGAAGGACACACACAGGAACTTTGGGTTGATAGATATATCCTGTGTCTCAACTAGGGTAATGGTTCTGTAGATAGATTTCCATCTATTAAAATTTATCAGTTGTACTTAAGATCTGAACATTTCACCACATGTACATTTTATACTCTCTCCCCACACCTGCAAATGAATACTGACCTCTGTTTAATAGCTTTTCTTTTCGTAGTGTCTCTTCACACTTTTTATAGAAGAGATGCAGGCTGCAGGTGGCCCATGGGGGTGGTTGGGTGGCTCTGTTCTAAAATGCTAACCTGCTGGAGTTTTCCTAGGAACAGCATGAGCGTGGTGTGTTTGCTGGTGAAGGGTGTGGACCCTGGAGGTGTTCACACCTGGGCTCACACCTAGCAGTGCCACTCGCCACACTAATAATTCCTCGTTTGGGAAATCCTGGGAGTGCCTCCTCGGTGGGGTTGTGTGGAAGATTGCGTGGAGCCAAATCGCGCCTGACTGCTGCCTTCTTGCTGGCTCCCGGCTTCCATTTGTCCTGCGGCCTTTTTCACAGCACCGAGAACCCCCACGGACTCAGACCGTGGCATACCTGCTTAAGATCCCCAGTGCCTCCCTGTCAGACGTGCCTGCCCCACCTCAGAAGCCCTCGTCCTGGTGCATCCCTCCCCAGGGCGGTGTCCTCTCTGCCCACCACCTGCTCATTCACCTTCCACACCTGGGAGCTGCATTTTCTCTGTGTCCTGGGAATTCTCATCTTTACAGAATGGCTGTTTATTCTTACTCTTCAAATTTCACATCGACAGAACTCTTCCCTGGCCTCACAATGAAGTGGGCAGTCTGTTTATCCTGTTTTCATTCCTGCCCTAGATGACTGCCTTTTGGGTGTCCCTTACCCATTAGCAAGTCAGCTGTGTGAGACAGAGCCCCTTGTCCACCTGACTCTCCACTGTACCCCCCCGCCCTGAGGACGCTTACGAAGTAGGCGTTCACTGACTATTTGTGGGGTGAATCCAGGGGGTTAATATACTCAAAAGGCCAAACACAGTGACTGACCCCTGAGAGTCTGGTGTTAGTGGAAATCATTGCTGCAGCCGGCGAGGTGTGACCTGCCCCCTTAACAGAACGTAGACATGAATCCCGAGGTTTGAGGAGTGTGAGAAGAAATACCCACAGATCACCTAAGAAACAAAAGTCATGCAGCACTATGCGGCCAGTATGTGATTATTTATACAGGTTCTAGGGTAAAAAAATGAATAATTAGAAGTCTGAATGAGTTTGAATGTCATTTCCCTGCAGCTTTTAAGCCAGTGATTTTATACTTCTTTTCCTTCCTTCCCCACCCGTCTGTTTGTGACAGTGTCTGTAGGAGGATCAGCTATTTCACACGACCAGACCGAAGGGAAAAAAAAAAAAGGCCTGGGGCCTTCGGGATGTCCCTGAACAATGGGGTGATTGAGCTCTCCTTTTGTTTTAGACGTCCACACAGAAGCCGTGCAGGCGGCGCTGGCTAAACACAAAGAAAGGAAGATGGCGGTGCCTATGCCTTCCAAACGCAGGTCCTTGGTTGTGCAGACCTCGATGGATGCCTACACACCTCCAGGTGAGCGGTGGGCCCGCTGTCTGCTTCCTGAAGTGACGAGCGAGCCTTGGAATTAATTCACCACTAGCTCAGGCAGTCCCGGTCTTTGTAGCTTTCAGACTAATGGTACTGTAATTCAGGTTTTGAACCAGAAGTCCAAATTTAAACTTGGAAGGAAAAGGAACGTTATGTATGTGTCTATACAAATATGTATTTTAATCTTTTCATTGAGATTCATAAATGATACAGCCTTTAAAGTCTCGTGAAGTTTTATTTGACCCTTCATGTAGCAAAAGGGAAGAGTTTGTGCCTCCACAGTTATAACTGAAGTTGGACTTCTCTTCTGCCTAGATTGGTCTGTACATATTCTCAAGTCCTTCAAATATAAATATGCCATGAGGTTGTGTTGAGAAACCAAATGAATTGAAAAATTTATGCAGTTACCTCAACTTGGGGTCCTCATCTTCCTGTAATGTGCAGGTAGTATTTTGTGTCTGTCACAGTGCTTGTTCTGTGGTGATGTGAAAGCAGCCACAGGCAACAGATCAGTGAGTGGCTGTGTGCCAATAAAACTTTATTTACAAAGACAGACGGAGGGCCAGTTTGGTCCACACCTGCTGATCCAAATGGTTGATAACCACCTAAGTTCTCTGCTTCATTTTACCTAAATCATTATAATCTCTGTTTTATGATCTTCAAAACCAAAGTAAAGTGCAAAGTTAAATTATCCAGGTACCTTTAGAAAACATGAAGGATCGAGCCTAATTTATTTGGTGTTTTTTCTGTGAATCGGGTTCCAACATTATTCATGTTGTTGCGGCTGTGCCTTTCTGCAGACCTAAGTTACCTTGCACAATAGGAACAGAGGAACATATACAACACTTTTTCGAGTACTTTGACATTTAGTCCTGAATGTTTGCAAGCAGTGAGAGTAACAGAAGCAGGTACTTCAACTCCAAGATGCACACAACATAGTGATTCAGCATTTTCGCTCCCTGTGATATGTGCAGTCACCCTGTCAGCATTCGAAGTTAGTGCCGACTGTCGACTGTGTCCCCCACACTGCAGTTTGCATCCCCCAGACTCACCTGTTTTATAACCGGAAGTTTGTACCACCCAGTCCCCTTCACTTGTCCTGTCCAAACCCCCACCCACCTCCCCTCTGGTAACCACCAGTGTGTTCTCCATATTTGAGTCTCCGGTTTTTGTGTGTTCATTTGTTTTGTTTTTATTTTAGATTCCATATGTGAGTAAAAACATACACTATTTGTCTTTCTCTGACTGACTTCACTCTGCATAATGCCCTCAGGGTCCCTCCCCATCATAGCAAATGGCAAGATTTCATTCTTTTTATGGCTGAGTAATATTCCATTGTATATATATACCACATCTTCTTTATCCATTCATCTGTCTGTGGACATTTGGGCTGTTTCCATATCTTGCTTATTGTAAATAATGTTATAAAAGACATGGGGGGGCATATATCTTTTTGAATTAGGGTTTTCATTTTCTTCTGATAAATACCCAGAAGCAGAATTGCTGGGTCATACGGTAGCTCTATTTTCAACTGTTTGAGGAACCTCCATACTGTTTTCCAGAGGGGCTGCACCAGCTTGCATTCCCACCAACAGTGCGAGAGGGTTCCCCTTTCTCCCCATCCTCGCCAACACTTGTTATTTATTGTCTTTTTGATATTAGTCATTCTGACAGATGTGAAGTGATACATGATTCTGATTTGTATTTGCCTAATGATCAGTGATGTTGAGCATCTTCTCATGTGTCTGTTGGCCATCTGCATTATCTTCTCTGGAAAATGTCTGTTGAGGTCCTCTGCCCATTTTTTTACTCAGATAGTTTGGAATTTTTTTTTTTTTTTTTTTTGGTCTTGAGTTGTATGAGTTCTTTATATATTTTGGATATTTAACCCCTTATCAGATACATGATTTGCAAATATCTTCTTCCGTTCAGTAGGTTGCCCTTTTGTTTTGTTGATGGTTTCTTCCACTGTGCAAAGCTTTTCAGTTTGAGAGTCTTAATTACTTACTTACTTGTGCTTTTGTTTCCCTTGTGTGAGGAGACAGGTCCAAAACACATTGCTAATATGTCCAAGAGTCTACTGGCTATTTTTTTTAGGAGTCTTATGGTTTTCAGTGTCACATTTAGATCTGTAATACATTTTGAGTTTATTTTTGTGTCTGGTGTAAGAAAGTGGTCAGTTTCATTCTTTTGCATGTAGCTGTCCGGTTTTCCCAACACCATTTGTTTAAGAGACTGTCTTTTTTCCATTGCATAATCTTGCCTCGTTTGTCATAGATTAATTGACCATATCAACAGGGATTTATGTCTGGACTCTCTATTTTATTAATGTGGTGAAAAGTTTTATTTTGTACATATTTTTGTAACAAACAGAATGAATTTACAAGGATAACAAACCCACTTAAACCAAGTGTTTAGAACTAGACAGTATTCAAGGAGATAGACATTTTTCTGAGCTACTTTTTTATGAAAAATGATGAGTTTAAAAGGCAGGAAGCAGGGCACCTGGGTGGCTCAGTCATTGAGCATCTGCCTTCGGCTCGGGTCACAGTCCCAGGGTCCAGGGATCGAGTCCCGCGTTGGGCTCCTTCCTCGGCGGGAGGCCAGCTCTCCCTCTCCCACTCCCGCTGCTTGTGTTGCTGCTCTTGCTATCTCTGTCTCTGTCAAAAAAATAAATGAAATCTTTAAAAAAAAAATGCAAAAAGCAATGTGATTATTCATGTATGTGCTTTTTCATATGTTGAATCCATCCTCAGAAATGTTATTTTGTGGGGCGCCTGGGTGGCTCAGTCGTTAAGCGTCTACCTTCGGCTCAGGTCATGATCCCAGCGTCCTGGGATCGAGCCCCGCATCGGGCTCCTTGCTCAGCAGGAAGCCTGCTTCTCCCTCTCCCACTCCCCCTGCTTGTGTTCCCTCTCTCGCTGTGTCTCTCTCTGTCAAATAAATAAATAAAATCTTTAAAAAAAAAAAAAGAAATGTTATTTTGTGATGAAAGACAAAACTTGAGAAAATCAAACATTGTACAGATATCTTTGCAAAATAGAACATTATTGGAAATGTTATTTTTGTTGAAATTTTTGCATTTAATTATTTGACTAGCCCTTTCTTGTACACCATATAATACCTTTTGTAAACTGTCATGCAAGAGTCCTAGCGATAATATCACATATGGAATAGTTTTGTACAATCAAATGCCAGCACCCTCATCATAACAATTTTTATTCACAGCCTATTTTGTGTGTAGCAGTTGTGTACGTATTTATAACCGTACTTGTACAGGACCTTAGGGCTAAGCTCCATTTTCTCTCATTCTGTTTTCCTTGGTTGCTGATAACATTTGTTAGAATTCATCTCATGTCCACTGCTCTTCAGAGCATATTCCTGAAATATATGTTTTCTGTGTGAAAGGACTAGTCACTGACTGGTATCATAGTCTCTGGAAAAGATCTAATTAGGATTGTGACACTGCCAGTCTTTTATAGGAGAAGCTTTCCTTTGGTTTTTACATACAAAACTATAACAAGAATTTGCCAGCACTTCTGCTTCTCACCATAGAGAAATAACTGGTACTAGACTAACCCAAGCACTATAAGCAACTATAATTAACTGCCCCAGATGAACGGGGCAGCTGTTCTGCCTGTGGACCTCCAGCAGTGAAAGAGCACCCCGAGAGCAGTACAACTTGTGAGGTGAGCCCACGGTTCCCAGTGTTCTGCCGGGAGAAAATATTCAGACCACGGCCCAGGGATTGAGATCTGAATGAGACTGGCCATTCTGCTCCCTGGAAGAGGCAGAGATCTGAGTTCAGCAGATGAAAGGACTAGAGCTTTCCACTGATCCACACTAGCAAAGAAAACTCCAAGTCTGCTCAGCATCAAGATGACCAACCAGTAATTGACATGCTTGCTAAAATAAGAATCATGAGGCTTTAGAGGAAGATTATAGAATCCAGAGTCTCAAAATGCCACCCACAATGTCTACTACTCTGTAAACAATCACCAGGTATGAAGAGATACAGGAAATGTAATCTGTGGCCACAGAAAAAGGAATCAATATAAAATGAACATAAGATGGCCTCCATTGTGCTCTTGGTAACCACTAACCACATGTGGCTGGCCTCAATTGTATTTGCTATAAATGTGAAAATCACACCAGATTTTGCAGAGTTAATATGAAAGAAATTACTGGAAGGTGTTTAATTAATTTTCATAATATTTTGACTTAAATAATACATTCTTAAAATTGTATCTATTCATGTACTTTTTAATGTGGTTACTATAAGGTTTAAAACTAATAAGACTCATATTTCTGTGGAGAGCTCTGGTTAGGTGTTTGAAATAACAGAAGATGGAGTTTTTAAATCTGTGATTATAAATATTTATTCAGTCTAATGAAAATAGGTTAAAGAACTAAAGGAGAATATTGTCTTAATATGTAAGCTGAGCAAAGAAAGGAAATTCCACTCAGGTGAAATGTCACTGGATTAGTATAATATCAGATTGGAGAAGGAAGATGAAGGAGTCTGTACACCTGAAAAGAGATAAAGAGAAATTTACCAAACTGAAGAACAGGGAGACACAGGTAAACAACAGAAGAACCTTAAGTATCTATGGTACAATGTTAACCTAATTCTAACTGGACTCCAAGAAGGAAAAGAGAGTGAGAAGACAGAAAAACTATTGGAAGAAATCAGAGTTAAGAACTTCTCTGATTGATATAAAATGCCACCTTATAGATCCCAGAAGTTCAGTGAATCCAAAGCAGGATAAGTATAAAAAAATCATACCTAAGTTCACAGTAGTCATAGTGCTGAAATCCAAAGATTAAGAGGAAATCTTGAAACTAATCAGAGGAAAACATATCACATACAAGAGAACATCATACGAATGATGAATGACTTACATGAAGACACCATAGAGACCGGAAGGCAATAGAAAGGCATATTTAAAGTCCTAAAGGGAAAAAACAAAACAAACCTGTCAACT